GGGAGCGCTGGCACAGAGGGGTCGCCGCGGGGTTTGGCTGCTTTGCTCGCTGGAGGGGTCGGGTCGCTCTGCCTCTCCGAGATGGAGTTTCTGAAGCGCCTCGGCGGAACATGGGCGCGTTCCTTTCGCTAACCTCGCGGAAACGCTGTCGGGACTCCCAGTTGTAGGAGCTGGGAGGAGAGCGGGGTTTGTGAATCTTGCCAGTAACACAGCAATATGGAAGTCTTCCTTGTAGCCATGCGTCAGGCAAAAAGAGGGATATTATTTAATCTTGTCTGCATCAACCTCGTGTGGAAGGTGGTACTGGATTTTCAGCCGATTGAGCTTATTTTCAGTACTTGTAAAAGTCAGCATTTTAATTAACAAACAGTGACCTTTGCTTATTCAGAGCTTACTTGAGTAACAGGTATGAGACATCCTCTGTCACCTAGCTTTACTGGGTGCTTTGCTCAGTTGCTTTGTCATGTGTTCTGGCCTAATCTGTGGGACAGCCAGAATATGAGTGCCTCCTGTTGTGGTGAGGTAAGAGGAAACCAAAGTTGTTGGCTGTGCCTTCCGAGCTCAAGCTCCGCCCTCTTAGGCAACACAAGTGAGAGGTCCTCTTGAGTTTGGACGCGGTTGTTTGATGTGAAGCTGGAACTGGGTTTTTTCCTCATTTTTAAAAGTTCAGATTAATTTATTACAGGAGCAAAGAATTCACCGAGATGTTCTTTCCCCTTTTGCCCCTGTACTCTGGGACAGCAGTGGGATAGCTGACCTTTTTAGTGCAGGGCTTGCTTTTGCATTTGGCGTGCCGTGCACATTATTAATAGAAATCATTTGCTCACGCAGGTCCACAGAGTTGGATTCTAACTGGAACTGGTTTCAGCTGAGGTGTATGCAAGTGGGCAGCAATGCCAACGCGGTGAGGAGCCTCTGTAGGCATTTTGCTTGCTTTCCCTTTCGCTAATCCCATCCTTTGTTTCTTATCTCTTTTCTCTGTGTGGCTTTTGGCGTACCAACCTCTCTATCTTTTTTGGAAATGTGGAATGACGGGAGGTCTCTGTCAGCTGTGCTTGGAAGTCAGGCTGTGACATTCGAAAGCATTGCTTTTCACTGTGCGGGTTTGTTACTTCCTTATGTCTCATTTAAATGTGAGAGACACGGTCTCCTTGAAGGGAAGGGGTTAGTAACACTGATCAGTTTGAAAGATCACGCTCAGCGTTGTGACTTGGAAGCATCCTCCTGTGGAGGACGGGGATGGTTTTCTTAGCCCTCTGAGGCCTGGAGAGAGACTTCATGGAGAAAGCTGATCAGTGAATGGTTGGTTCATGCTCTGTGCACAGTGTTATATCCCTTGTCTTTGGGAAGCTTCCTTTTTCCATTGAGTTTGAGTTAATTTTTCTCACTTGCTTGAGTCTGATCTCGCAGTCTGGAGGCTGAACGTCCGTCTCTTTTTCAGACTGCTTTCTTCCGCCAGCACGGCTGCACTACCACAGATGCCAATGCGAAGTATAACAGTCGAGCTGCCCAGATGTACAGGGAGAAGATCCGGCAGCTGGCAAGTGCTGCCATGGCCAAGTATGGCACTGATGTAAGTCTGAGCAGCTCTCTGCCATTAGACATGGAGCGCTGGATGCTGAGTCTTGTAGGGTATCTCTCTTTCTTTTTCACCACCTCTCCTTTCTTCAGCTGCTTATAGATGGACTGAGTGGAGCCCCTGGGCACTCCCCTGACAAGAGCGATGCTGATTTCTTCATGGAGCACACACAGGTGAGAGGAGCTGTCTAAACCAGACAACCTTAACGGCTCTCAAATAGCCAGCTATTCAGGCAAGAGCAGTCCCACTTGGTTTGGAAGGACTCCAAGTTGTATACTTGTTCAATATTAATGCGAAGGAACTAAAATTCAGTCATTGGCCTGGGATATAGTCACAGATCTAAAGAATCCCTCGTGGGGCCTGTAATATCCATGTCCTTTGTTTTTGAGACCATCTTTGTCTTTAAGGAGTACTCGGTGCTACCAGCTACTCCCTGGAAAACACTTAGAGAGCTGCATTAATGCACAGTCTCTTTGTACAGTTAAAGCAAGGGCTGGCTGTTACTTTGAACCTCTGGTTTAGTCAGCTTTAGTCAGTGCATAGACCCTGGTAAAGTGGATTTGGGCAATTGTTTGCACTAGGTGGACTTTATCAAGTGAGTAGAGTAAAATTAGAACTGGCTGTGTGGAAATAAAGCCAGTGAAGCCGACAGTATTTATTTTCTTCAGGGAAACTCATTCACACTCTTTCTCCCAGGTTTAAACTCATCATCTTAACCTGGAAAGTCTTCACAGTAGTCAACTCTGATACTGCTGTCAAGTGATGCTGTCGTTCCTTCTGGCTTTCCATGTTTTTTTTTTTTTTTTTTTTTGTCCCTGCTAAGGGAATGTGGACTTGTCCATACGTTGTCTTCAGTGAAGGTATAGTCTGGAGTTTGGAAAATGCTTCCTTTGGCCTAAAACTGAATACAGGTCACTAAACCTCAAGTACTTAAGTTCAGGATTGTTGGATTTGTTGATCTTCTGCAAATTGCTGGAATCTCCTTGCAGTCTTCCAGTACCTGGGGTGTAGCAGATGCCAGCCAGAATCCTGCAGAGTCTTCCCTGGAGCTGGAAAAAGCAGCAAAATCATCAGAAGGCAGTGAAGTGTCGAGTGAGTTTTCCTGCTGAATAATTTTCCCAAGAACCTGACTTCATTTCCAGGAGCATTCACTTCTGTAGCACAGTTGGAAGGGCTGAGCTCTTCCTTTGGTTCAAACTTGGAGTGGAACCTGTGTGCACTCTATGAGTAGTTAAATTAGTGGAGACTTCTGAAAACACTGTTCTGTTCAGGATCACTTCTCCACTTTTCCTGAAATCCACACAAAACTCTGTTGGGGGTTAGCTGCCCCATTTCCATGCTTCCAGACATAATTGTTTGTTTTAAAGACTCTTTTTCTATCTCTTGAATTTGGTGGGTCTGGAAATGATCTATGAGTATAAAGCAAAAAACCTGTTTCTAGAGTGAACAACAAGGAGACTGAGAATCTGTAATTTGAAACAGCTTTGCGTATTCCCCTGCAGAGCGTTTGCTTGCTTTTAATGTGTTAAGAATACTGCAGAGGGAATAACTTCCTCTGTGGGGACATGAAGTTGTTGTGTGTGGGAAATTGCATGTTTCAAGCTTGTTTGGGGTGGGGGCAGAGGAGGTAAAAGAGATGTAGTAGGACTGTGAGCACACTGAAAAGAAAGGGGTTAAGAATCTCTGCTAAATTTTCTCTTCTGGTTTTACGTCCATAGATACCAGCCAGGGCCCCTCTACTGACTTGTTGAGCACGTCTCCTAAAGCTCCTCTAGGTAAGTAAGACTCTCTGCTATCTCTCAGATCAGTCTTGCTCTTATATCTAGTGTTCAGTAGTAAGTTCAATAGAGCTGGAACTGATGAGCTGATTTCCAGAACGTCTAAAGGAGCTCGTCTTCCTGTGGAGCTTGTACTGAGGATTTCCCTAAACCCCAAAACCAAGCCACAGTTTACTGGAGGTTTCCTCCTCCTTTGGATGATTGAGTTCAAAGCTGTCACCATCCCAAAAGCTTGTTTTCATTTTTTGAGCTTTGGACAAAACTTGGCATTTATATATCTTTGACTTGGCTGATCAGAGCCACATGGCTATGGTGTTTGGTTTTGTTTTTGTTTTTTTCCCCTCAGAAGTTTTGGAGGCAAATTAATTTTTGGCTTCCAGAGTAATAGGGATTTGTATCTGATTCACCCCTGCCATTACTGTCCTGGCTGCACACATAGCATCTAACTGGAGCCTCTTTCCTTATTGAGAGTGTGTGCCTAGCTGTTCTGGCTTAACCCCAGCCAGCAGAGCCCCACCCAGCTGCTCACTCACTCCCCCCTGGTGGGATGGGGAGAGAATCAGAAGAGTAAAAGTGAGAAAACTCGTGGGTTGAGATAAAGACTGTTTAACAGGTAAAGTGAAAGCCATGCGCACAAGCAAAGGAGAACGAGGAATTGATTCACCACTTCCCATGGCAGGCAGGTGCTCAGCCATCCCCAGGAAAGCCAGGCTCCATCATGTAACGGTTACTGGGGAAGACAAACGCCATTACTCTGAGCATCCCCACCCTTCCACCTCCTTCCCCCAGCTGTATGTGCTGAGCACGGCATCACACAGTGTGGGACATCCCTGGGGTCAGCTGTCCTGACTGTGTCCCCTTCCAACTTCTTGCGCCCCTCCAGCCCACTCAGGGGTGGGGTGGGGTGAGGAGCAGAAAAGGCCTTGGCTCTGTGTAAGTGCTGCTCGGCCATAAAAAACATCCCCATGTTACCAACACCGTTTTCAGTACAGAACAGCCCCATACTAGCTGCTTTGAAGAAAATTAACGATCCCAGACAACCCCAGCCCACAGTGGATTCATCCTGGGTGGAAAGCCTGTGTCCTCAAGTGTCTGTTTATTCCCCGTGTTTTATGTCTCTTCCTCAGACATGTCCATGTATCTGTCAACACAAGGGCCTGCTCCTGCCAGAGGTAACTGGCTAATGGCTGGCCTGCGCTGGCTGCTTGTGGCAACTCTGCCTGCCCCTTCTGTGATTCTGCTTTCAACTCTAGCTTCCTGTGCTTGGAGAGAGAGAATGAGCCAAAGCTTCCATCTAGCCATGATATCCAATACAGTAGTATTGGGATTGAAACCAGCTATTCCATATCAGGAAAGGGATTGTATTGACATTTCTGTTAAATGTTCCCTGACAGTAATAAAAAAAGCCCCCAAACAACTCTGAATGAAATGTTAGGAACAGCGAGCTGAAAACAGTCTTGGATAGTGGGAATGTTTTGAACCCCTTTATTTCAAAAACTTACGGTGAGACTAGAGAAGAGACAGGAAAGGCTGTTAAGAATGATCTAAAGTATGGGTATGACAAAAGTCACATGGATATAGAAAGTAAGAGGACACTACTGTGGAAGAAAAGCCCAACAAGGGCAATAAAAGATTTTGGAGCTACATGTTGGAAGATGGGAAAATGTCCTGGGCAGTCCCTCTCTGTTTGCTTTGTTCCTTCACTTTTCCCCAGGCACCTGCTGCTTGGCTGGACCGTGGCTGGTTTTGCAAGCGCGGCATGCTTTGTGCCCTCAGAGTGACAGGTTCCTGGGGCAAGGTGTTGGGGAACCTGTTGCTTTTACAGCTTGCTGCACTTTAGATCCATTTTGTTGTTGGTCTGTTCATGTAAACATGACTTTAGGGTTCTTGCTCCTTTGTCCCCAAGGCATCGGTGAGGCACTGACCTTCATATGGCTCTGAAGCTGCATATTTCTTGGGTTTATGTATGGAATAAATGTAGTCTTCCTCTGGTTACCCTGATCCCTACTGGATAGGGTCACCAACTGCATGACACTTGAAGGAGCTATTCAAAGGGTCTTAATTCACTTAGAAGTTTTGCCAGCAACAGACCTGCTTCTCTAGGCCACCAGCCTATAATTGTGGAGCTTCTGAGTGCATCTTTCGTGGCTGGGTGAAGTCATCCAGGCTTCTGATGTGAAGCTGCATGGTGTGCCCTGGACTCTATAGCAGCTGGACTGTGGTGGATGTTTGTGTGGGTTGCTGACTAATTTTGGCTGCTTACATTTTCAGTTCTGCTTATTTGCTGCTTCTGTCCTCTTGCAGAACTTAAATCCTCCCTCATTGGAAAGAAGAAGCCAGGAGCTGCCAAGAAGGGGGTATGTCTGAGCTCTTGTTTTATGGAGAGGAGGTAGAGTGTGTCTCATATTACTGCCGTCCTTTTCTTGGCCCTTGCTTTCTGCCCTTAACGAAGCTGCGTACCAAGAGATCTGTTTGGGGAAGAAAGAGCTTTGTTTATATTACTGCTTGTTTTGAAAGATAGCTTATGTACTAAGGGATAAAACCAATTAGGTTTTGCATCATTACTCCTTGTGGTCTGAAGTGTATGCAGCTGATCTCTCAGCACTGGCCACTGGTGGGTTAACTCCTGCATGTTCTTCCATACTCTGCTGCACGCTGTGGTTGGGTCTGTAGGTTGTGACTATACATGGAGACCGAAGGCCTGATCAGTGCAGCAAGGAGTAGGATTCTGGATTTCTTCTATGATGAACAATCTAGGGTGAAGAAATGGCAATATTTTCGGTTTTGTTTTTCAAGTTGGGTGCGAAAAAAGGTCTTGGAGCCCAGAAAGTGAGCAGCCAGAGCTTCAGTGAGATTGAGCGGCAAGCCCAGGTGGCAGAACAGCTGAGGGAGCAGCAGGCAGTGGAGTCCAGGAAACAAGCTGAGGAGTCCATGTAAGTGCCCTGTTTGTACTGAATACCTTCCATACATACGGCTGAAGGAATATGAGGTTAATGCTGTTCACCTTGGGACCACCTAATGTGAGTACAGAACATGCTGCAGGATAGGATGAGCAGTTGCTATAGGCCAGTATGGCCCTTACAACAGGGCACAAGTTTATGTTCCATATTTTATTCCAATTAGCATCCCTGGAAGAGTTAAAGGAGCAGATACAGAAGTATTTTGTGTTTCTGCTGACCTTTGGACAGGACTGAAAAAGGCTAAGGCTGAACTGGATGGGTCACTCTGTTGGGGAAGTGGCAGGGAGGCAGCAATGCTTACAGTAAGGAGACACAGTGGATGTGAGTGAATCCCAGTGGATGTGAGATGGGAAGACAAGCAGTAGCTTCTACGTAAGGATTTCTGGCAGAGCTGTTGTGGAAATGAGTGTTTTGATGGGTTGTCAGGGTTACTCTCCCCCTTGCTCGTCCACAGCATGGGATGGGGCAAGGGTAATGAGCTGGTATCAAGTGCAGCTCTTTCCTTTAGAGTCACCTCAATGCGACTGGCTTATCAGGAACTGCAGCTTGATCGGAAGAAGGAAGAGAAGAAACTTCAGAACCTTGAAGGGAAGAAGCGTGAACAAGCAGAGAGGCTGGGCATGGGCTTGGTGTCCAGAAGGTACTTGGCTGTGGATGGCAAAAGAGACAGGTGCCTTGGAAGCACCCTGTTCTGGAAGAGTTTCCTGAAGGGAGGAGCTTGCTGCTCTTGTAACAGCTAAGGAGCCAATTTAAAGTGCTCATATGCTGGACTATGCTTAAAAATGCTTCGGGTGCCAGAAGGAATGGGCAATCTGTTCAGAGGTTCTGGTTCTGATTTGAGCTTTTCCAAAGATGCACGTGGCCTGTCAGCATCTAGAGCCCTGCTGCTTGAGAGATGTCCCCCTGCAGCACACTACCTGTAAGCCCCCTGTCTCAAGACTTTGGAGGGAGTCAGGACAAGTTTAGATTAAGTGTTGAAGGGGGCTGGCATCCCACACCTCTCCCTTGAGACTTGTGGCACCTGCCCTGCCCATGAAGGTCAGGCTTAGTTTTGAGGCAGACTGGTTGGAGGGGCTGGGTGCTGCCAGACCCATCGGCCCTGACTGCCTGTTTATTGTGCTAGTTCTGTTTCACACTCGGTGATGTCTGAGATGCAAGTAATTGAGCAGGAGACGCCGCTGGCCGCAAAATCTTCCCGTTCCCAGTTGGACTTGTTTGAAGATGCTGGAGGCTTCGCATCTGGACCCCCCAAGTAAGACTTGGTTTCAGGTGTAGTCTTTGGTTTATTCCTGGATTTAATGTCTGGCCTAAATTACCTGTTTTTGGTATCTAGGTACAAATATAATCCCTTCACATTCGAAGATGCATTTAGCTCACGATGGGAAACAGACTCTTCATGGGGTATGGACAAAGAGGAAGAACCTGAGGTGACCATTTCCAGTATTCGGCCAGTTTCAGAGAGGTGAAGTGCCTGTCACTGCTACTGTACCTTCCCTTGTGTGCGGGAGAAAAGGATAGGTCTGGGAGCTGTGGGGAGAGATGCTGCTGTGTTATGACAGGAGCCTTGTGTCACAGAGGATAACTTGTATGGACAAGGCCAAGAAAAAGAGCCTCCAGTGAAAGAGGCTTGGGCATGTCTTTGCCTATTGTGTCCCTATGTTTGATGCAGCCTTTATGGTCATGAAGCGCTGGCTGTGCTGAGGTGGGGAAGAAGACCACCCTGACAGCAGCCAGCCCCTGAGGATTTGTTGCTTTCCCTTGATCACATGGGGTCTGAGGGAGAAATTCCTTTCTTTACTGTGTTGGTGAGCCAAAACTGAGATATCTCCTCTCTTGTTTCCTCAGACCCACCAGTAGGCGGGAGACAGAGAACAGAGCACCTGTTGTGGAATCCAGTGAAGCTCGGCAGAAGTTTGCAGGGGCTAAAGCTATCTCTTCAGATATGTTCTTCGGGCGGGAGGCAGATGCTGAGGTAGATGCATTCTGCAGTGTTTAAGCTGGCACAGCTCTGGCTTCATCTCCTCCTGTTTGCTCAGGTCTTACTTTGTTGACTTTCTTTATAACCATTTTGTTTTGTGTTCTGCTGCAGTATGAAGCCAGATCCCGACTGCAGCAGCTCTCAGGCAGCAGTGCCATCAGCTCTGCAGACCTGTTTGGAGAGGCCGAGAATGTGCACTCAGGTTTGTTAGTGCTCGGTGGGCTGCGGAAGGGGCAGCTTCGGAGGGCCTGGACTGGGGGGAGGTGCTCTCTGGAGCTCGAGGACTCCAGGCTGACTCCTGCTGGTTCTCGTAGGTGGTGTGTCAATTGGAAATGTCCTGCCTGCAGCTGACATTGCACAGTTCAAGCAAGGAGTGAAATCCGTTGCTGGCAAGATGGCTGTCCTAGCCAATGGGGTGATGAACTCCCTCCAGGTGAGGTTACACTGGCACCTTCAGGCAGGCTGTCATCATGCTTGGGGACTTTCACCATATCCTGGCTTCTGCTGGAATTATCACTGTCTCCACCTGGGACTTTCCACAGATTTGAGGAGACCTGTTTTTTGTAGCTGATGACTACAATAGTTGAGCAATTCTAGGTGGCCAGTGAACTCTACTTGGCCAGCCTTATTCTCCAGCTGGCCAGGACCCCATTGATATGTCTCTTCCCACAAATCTTGTGCAGAACTTAAAAAGTTAAGGTCATTTTACTTCCTGCCTTTGCATGGTGTCCTGTCTAGGTAACCTTGTGCTGCATTCCAATCCCAAACCCCAAGACCTTGTTATCTGTCTTTAGAGTTTGCATTTAAGTGTTGTAGCATGGTATCTCGGTGTGTTTCCTCCCCAGGATCGTTACGGCTCATATTGATGACCCAGGGACTGCAACTCACAGGGAAGCCAACAAGAGGGACTGATACCACCTTCACCTGGAGTAAACTGCAGGATTGACTTTTAGTTTGTCTGGGGTGGGTGGGGAGGGGAGAAGGTAAACAGAGGGGCTCAGGACATGGCTGTGCCCAGGATGCTTTCCAAATATCTCTGGATTCCACTCTATTAAAATGCAATGTGCCCTCATACCCACTGCTATGTACTAGCCAGTGGAGACAGGCCTTCTTCCAGGGTTAACCTCACTGCTGTAAAAGATATGACAGGAACTCCTGGGATCCCTCATCAGTGCTCCTGTCGTTGGCCCATACCTTAGCTCATCAAGTGGCAGAGGAAAGGGGAACGCTATTTTTCTGAACATGATGTTACCTGGTTCCTGTGGACGTGACTTTTTTTTTTTTTTTTTTTTTTTTT